GGAGCGGCCCGGCTCACAGTTGCGGCTGGGGTGTCCCTGCTGGGCCAGGTTCTGCGCAAGCCGAGTGTACAGATCAGCGTTCCGGCGCCGGGAATGGAGGTCGTGGAGACCCTCCTCCTCCTTCCATAATTCGATGAGGGCCTCCAGCTCCCTGGGGCTCCAGGATGGGGCCCGCCTTTTGCGGCCCCTGGGGGCCTCCTCCGCTGGGGGTCCAGGGGGCTCTCCAGCAGGAGCTGCCATGGTGCGGTGAGCCGAAAGGAAAAAAGTGTTGGGCAGCACAGCAGGCGGCAGAGCTGACCCAGACAGGCTCCTGGCACGTGCGCCCAGCAGCCTGAGAGCCCTTTAACAGCTCGGGCTTACCAGGAAGTCCGCGGCTCCTACGGGGTCTCCCAGCGTCCAAACCGCTTTTTTCCGTTTTTTCTGCTTTTCCGGAAAAGCTGTCTACACTGGCCCTTTTCCGGAAAAGCTTTTCCGGAAAAAGGACTTATGCCCGAGCGGGAGCATCGTACGGTTTCCGGAATAGCGGCTGATTTTGTACAGTACAGCATCGTTGCTTTTCCGGAAATTCAAGGGCCAGTGTAGACAGCTCGCGGCTTATTCCGGAAAAGCGGCTGATTTTCCGGAATAAGTGGCCCAGTGTAGACACACCCAAATATATTATGTTACTTTTACACCCAAATAAAATCAGCTCAATTTTGTAATTTAATTTGAACTCTGAATACTTGCAAACAAGCTTCAGACCAAAATTTACTGGTTTCTCTAGATTTTTGTATGTAATAGTTTTTTAAATAATGAATAAAACAGACCCTAAAACTGTCCATGGGCAGTCTCTGACAAGAAAGTTTCATTTAATAAATTATTCAAAATAAATTATTCATTTCAAATTATTTCACCCAGATCTAATCCACATCTTTCTAAAATAGAAAGACGTGGCTCATCTGTAACAGAAAGTTTCTTGGAGAAGCTCACATGATCTTGTCCCACAGCTAATAGTATTCTGCACTGTTTTGACACCTGCTATTGTATGAATATGCAACTGAACGAGCACTTAAAAGTTATACCAAACCTTCCACAAGCTATAAAGATAACACAGCCAATTGTTTTAATCACAACAATGTCAATTGGCAATTAATGCATTAGTTACAAGGTTTAAATATTGCCCACCAATGTAAAAAGAAAATTAAATGTGTCTATTATTTTTTCACTGCCATTCATTTAATGTGTGAAACAGGTTTTAATGAATAATTAGCTGAGCACGGGTCAATTCGCTCATCTGTAAGATGATGAAATGTCTTCATTTCTCCAGAGTTTAAATGAAAGTACCGATTAAGGTAATTTAAAGTGAATGGTTACAAATTAGAGTAGCAATATGACTTTGCAAGAGTGTGGATTCTAACTTCCACTGATATCCTTTCATCATGGAGCTTTCAACCACATTACCTAACCCTGTTAGGGCTGGCTTTTTCTTCTGATGCTCCTAAATACACTTGAGGTGCAAGCAATGATAATAAATATGAAGGTGTTCCTTAATCTATTTGTCTGTGCAAATAGACACACTCCTGATGCACAGATTTGATAAACAGTTACTTGGAAAATATTTGTGGCTAGTTCCTGGTTTAAAATATTTAAGATAGTTATTAAAGGTTTCCAGAGATCTTGCCAGAAGAAGGACTAGCTAGTGCTGTGAAAGTTGGGTTTCTACTATCTTTCTCCCTTGTGGAAAGCCAGTTTGAAGTGCCAGTATACATTGGAGGAAAAACTTCTAGCAAGGACTCCAGTGAGAGTCATCTGAAATGTTTGGATTACTAGGAATCATTGGCAGCAACTATGAGAAGAAATCCTTCTGGGTATATTTTGTTTTCCTTAGCTTAGGGGAGGGCAAATAATGGCCTGCAGGCCAGATCCAGTCTGCCAGGATTAGCCCCTGGTGGTCCCCCATACCACCATATTTACCTGTACCTTTGCAGGTATGGGGGCATCTCCCATTGGCTGTGGATCACTATTCCTGGCCAATGGGAGCTGCGGTCACCCGTACCTGCAGAGGTGCAGGTAAATATAGCAGCAACGGCCTACGAGGGGCTAACCCTGGGGAACTGCTGCTGTTTTATTGCTCACCCCTGCTTTAGCTGGTAGAGATGCCATGTTAGAAAGCACCAGAAGACAGATTAGAAAGATTCTGTTTTCCTTTGAGTGATTATACAGCCCACAATTTCCACTTACTGCTCTCCTGACACCAGCTTACTAGAGGGACCTGGGAGAATTAAAGGAGACACAGTGTAACATGAAACCTGGACATCCTTTTCCATAGTCAGGAATAGCAAATTCCATGCAGTTAGGTGATGTTCCTCAAGCCTTTTAAACTTTGGTTTATTATATCTCCAATGGAGTAAATCATCATACAAATTGATGTTTATCTCTATGGTGTTAGATCTCAGGAGACAGATTACAAGCATCTTATAAATCATCAGCATTAGTTATTTTCCATGACAAGCTAAAATCTTCCATTATGTCTTTGTGCCTGTTTTTTTAGTCTTCAGTGAAGACATTGTCCGCTGTCTAGAATAAAGACTGCCTAACTTCAAAGTAATTTTTGAATGTTTGCTAACCCTCACCACATGCCCACCTCTATTTTTTTGTCAAAGAAATTCTGACACTGTTTCTTCTCTCAGAAACCACATACAATCTGGAGAACTCCGGATACTTAATTCTTCTTGACTTCTTAACATGAGTTTGAGCTACAGTTACTTCAGTCTGCGTATTTCCTGTACTCCACACTTTTCCTAGGGTAGAAGGGATCTAAGGCCCTCATGAAGTCTGATTGGCTGACAGTCATCAACATTATATGCCCATCTACTGACAAAATAGATTTTTGAACAGACTCCACGTGGAGTGGTTGGCTGCATATGTTCTTTGGTTAGCTCAGAATCTGATTAGCAGAAACTAAAGGTGACACAGCAGGTCAAATCCTGGCAATCAAATAGTCGCATCAGTAACAAATAAACTGTTCCAGACGTCTTGAGCCAACTACTCATTGCACTAAAGCATTGCTGCTGACAGATCTTGATCTGGCAGTTGAGACAACCATGGAGTCCTCAATGTAAGTCGTATACTGGAGATATCTATGTCAGTGAGAGAGCTGGACTGACACATAGCTTTTCTACCAGTCTGGCTGTAGACTCTCTGCAACAAGCTATGTTGCTCAGAGCAGGTAGCCAGGGAATAAGAGTAGAGGGCTGAGGGCTGGTGATTATGTGCATAGTCAAGTTCAATTCAATATCAACGAGTTTAGCACGAGATTAACACCACCACACAGGGCCACAGAATTCTGCTGGGGAACAGCACAGCACCAGAACTGATGTGCAAAATGTCTGTATCCCATGTTACTGGGGAACAGCACAGCACCAGAACTGATGTGCAAAATGTCTGTATCCCAAAATGTCTGTAGCCAGCTAGTTTGCTGATTAGGTTATACCCAGTCCTGACTCTGTCAACAGTGTGGTATAAAATGTCATGGTAAGTCAGAGGGGCCCAGTGTGACACCAGTGTGGATCAGTTTTGCCTCATGTTCAGTCATCTTCCACCGAGGAAGACGTTCAACTCACATTTAGTGCTTGCAGTGTGGAGATGGAAGATGCTTGAAACAGTCTTGGTCACACTTGTTTGGAGGCACCCACTGTTACAGTGGTCTGCACCGTGGCCAGGTTGGCATTCAAGATGTTTTATAATTCAGCGTGGGATTTCAGAGCAGTTGTCTCTGCACAGATAAATGTGTGTGACTGAGTCAGCTGCAGGTCATTTTTGCACAGATTGAACAGATACAAGCACAGAACTCAGAACATCCACAACTAATCAAACAGTCAAGATCTCCCATACCCCCAAACTCACAGCTGAAATTGTCTGAAAAATTGCTTGAATGGGACACCTATCCCTGCCTTCGAAAACACACAAACAAACCTCCACTGTAAGCTCTTGGCA